AGCTTTTTTTTACTACCAGTTCACCTGACTGGTAGCTTTTATCACTACCAGTTTGCCTGAACCGGTGCATACCGGTAGCATTTCACCCCTGCATCTATTATAAGCATCCTCTTTGTCCAAGTAGGAAAGAGGTGCTAAAGGTTCTTTAAAATGGGTACCTCTTTAGAATGGAATGTATAGTAGAGGCAGAAGGACAAGCAGGGAGGTTCTCATTTTTTACTTTTGCCATAAACATGATAAAATTCATGTTAGATAATAAGGATCTATACCGCTGAACTATATATCACACCCAACCTAGTATGACCAGTGGTAAGGAAGTCTTGGAACTGGTCAGCAATAAGCAGAAGACCAACTGTCTCTTTTGCTACAATTTCAGAAAAGGTTCAATGGTTTTTGAAAATGGGAAAGAAGTTTATGCTCTTGACAAAGAACTTAATATATGAAATGAATCTAACAAGATAAATAAACATGATTAGAAGACACATGCAAAACAATTTCACTCCTAGGGCTATTTTGTTTGTTTTAAAAATCAAAACCCTCAGCGTTAGCTGATCAAATCATCCTATTGATAGCAGAATACAATTTCTTATGAGTATATTGTGAAATGACTGCTAATGCTACTCTGGTCTCAGAGGAACAAATTGTGTGGTCACGTAGCATTTTTAAAAAGCATTGGATACAATTATGCAGACAGTTGCAAACATACAATAAATCAAAATAACATGTACATATGGAATTAAGATTTGCAGTCAAATCAAGAATACAGTTTTTCGCATCTAGCATCTTTCTGTGGCCACCAGATATATTTAAGTGATAACATTTACATATTCTAAATATGCAACCAAAATATTTAATGCCAGAAAATCACATGCACCATTAGAGTCAATATACCACAGCAAATAGGAATATTTAGCCCTTCTTGTCTAATCTTGAAGTTAAGCAAGTTTGGACCTAATTATGTGCATGGAATTTCAGGGCTGCTGGCTAAGTTGAGAAACTGAAAGCAAGAAAGAAATTTCAGAAGGTGATTGGAAATTATTCCCATAATAAAAAATGTGCATGGAGACATTAAAATGTGTCTTAACCTCAAAGAGAAATCACAAGCACAAAGATCAAGTTCTTGTCTTGAGGACCTTTGGAATAATGTTTTATCTGCGGGATGTAACAGACTAATATTTTTTCTGTTTATTATTGTTTTTATTGTTAGAAACCCAGAGTCACATGTTAGCTGGGTGACCATATAGACTATGGGGCCAATCATTTGGCTTGCCTAGGCCACATTGAATGAAGAGAAACTGTATGTATGTATGTGTGTGTGTGTGTGTGTGTGTATTTGTATACACACACACACACACACACACACACACACACACACACACACATTTGATATATATAAACCACATAATAATGTTAAAAGTTTATGATGTGTGGGCCTGTATTATTAGCTGTCTAGAGCCATACCTGACCCATGGACCACAGGTTGGGCATGCCTGGTGTAGAATAGACCATAAATCATAAATATCAGCAAACATAACAAACAAAATACATATAGAGAATAGAGATAAAAAAAGGCAAGAATAACTCCCCACAAGAATAATTTCCTTAATGTCTTACTTTACAGCCACCCTAATTATTTCATTCTATTGCTTTGCTCAGCCTTAAATATTGAGAATGATGTTATGTGTCTTAAATGGGAGAAAGAAGAAGCATTTGATTATCAAATTAAAATTGGTAATCTGATTGTTAATGGATGCTGGGATATAAAACTCCACAGAATTAAGCATTGCTGGGCATCTTTCGGAAACTTCACAGCTGACATTAATTAACAAGATGCTTCCTGTTTGTTTGTTTGTTTGTTTGTTTGTTTGTTTGTTTGTTTATTTATTTATTTATTTATTTATTTATTTATTAATTAGTTTGATTTATATGCCGTCCTCCTCCGGAGACTCAGGGTGGCTTACAATGCATTAAGCAATAGCCTTCATACTTTTGTATATACTTGCTTAGTAGGGCTTTTGGCCCCCCCAAGCGGTGTTCTATTTTATACAAAGTCAGCTTATTGCCCCCACAAACCGTGTCCTCATTTTACCTACCTCGGAAGGATGGAAGGCTGAGTCAACCTTGAGCCTGGTGAGAATTGAACTCGCAGTAATTTCAGGCAGCTGGCAGCTAAATACTACTTTAACAGTAGTTTAGTCCACTGCACCACCAGGCTCCTGCCATCATAAAACATCCCATCTATTCTAATATTTAAAGGGGCTATAATCTGTCTAAAGAAATTAAAGTTTGCCATATTAAAGTGTTTTAAAACATTTGTTAAGCATTTTTTAACATTTACCAAATAATAACAATAATTAATGCTACATTAATAATGCTAAATTATTTATTTAATATTGTAGGTTATTCTGTAACATCTTGAGGTTTGGTTTAATATAGCACGCTTAACACATGTTAAGTCTCTTAAGGAAATTGTATAGAAAGAAGTGTTTGGTTACAGAAGCAGCTAACAATAGTTTAAACTTGTTGACTAAGTGGCATGTTCTATTCCAGGAAAGTAATCTGTGTCTTGCCAGCATGAGAGATTGAGCGCATGTTTTAACACACTGCAGGCAACCATAATTAGCAAGTGATCACTTTCTGTATTTGTTGGATATCGACTTTGAAAAACCATCAAGTGTGTTGCATAGAATGCTTGACCTGATTTCCTGTTGATCTCTTGCCAGTGTGCATAGCATAGGAGATGCTAGCAAATTAGATTCTCCTGATTCCATGAGCAAAGTGAACAGTGATAATGATATAATGATGCAAAGGCATGCAGAAAAATATAACAAATCCTGCTAATGTGCATATATTTGAAGAGATTAATGATGGAGTTCCTTTTCCCTGTCCATATCTGTTAAAACTTGAACAGTGTATAGAAACTGGTTATAAACATTTGAATTTGTAGAAATGAACACACGATGAAAGGTTTTTAACAGATGGGTTTAAGTTGCCTTCAATATTTAATCTGAATCAAATGATGTCTATGCCATAATATATACTGTAGGGCCTGCTCTTGTACCACTAATTCCAATGAAATTTCCCCTGGCGTAAGTGATAAAAAGTTCCATCTGCCAATTCTCTGGGTATTCTGCTACAATTAAATGCTTAGGAACAGGCCAACAGAAAAAGCTGGCAATGTTACTTGGATAGAATTCTCCAGAAATGCTTCTAACACATTTGAGTAAACAGTGGGTATCAATAATATGCATACTCCTAAAATTGGATTTGCATTCTTCTTAGAATGTGTTAAGATTTCTCTGTTCTACTTTACAGACGTCATTCTCATTCACCATAATATTATTTCTGCACCCTGTCATGTCAATATCTTTCAACCAGAACAGAAACTGTTGCTTAGCAATGACTGTTGCTTAGTTCCCACTCGTCTACTACCACAAATCAGCGGAATTTACAACAATAAGGTGCTGTTAATGGCTCAACTCCATATTGAAGTCTTTGAAAACCCACAGTTCCAAATATTTTTACTGTAGGAAGAGACGAGTGCATTCTTTCAAATAAAAAGGGCAGGATTGGAAATTTCACATGGCTTTTTAAAGAAAATGATGCCATCTCTCAAAAAAGTGACTTCGTTTTCTGGAGGAACCTATGTCTGTAATTGGTTGGATTGTTGCTGAAGACATGGGGAAAATATGCAGAAGTTAACAATTGACTCTGATAATGAAGTTTAATTTATTTCTAATAACAGTGAAGCAGAAGAAACAGCATTTGTCAGTCTTTTCTTTAAATATTATTTTTGAGTTAGCAAATAACCAACTGAGGCAGAAAATGGGGATTTTACCTATCTATATCCATACTACTAAAACTCTCATCATGACCTTTAACTGCTTGAAATGGTGCATCACAGGGCAACAATTTTTGAACTAGTATACCTCAAATGGGCTTACAGAAAGTGTCCAAAATCTAGATCTCATGACTCAGGAAGGAAAGAAAGTTAGGAAAGAAATGTTTCAGTGCTTCTTAAGCTCTTATGGTCACATTATCTTCATTTTCAGCCCTCTATGATCATTTCATGAGCAAACTAAACCAAAACATAACTGCTCAGAGACCCGTGGTTTTAAAAGTTCTTTTTCAGCAGACTGAGTGGGATCCGTGCAATTCTTTGTATGTTTATTCAAAAGTCACTGTGTGCTTATTCATTTATCCAAAGAGACTGTGGGATTGTTAAAGCGCTGGCTTAGAAATCAAGAGACTATATGAATTCTAGTCCTCTTGTTAGTCATGAAAGCTGACTGGCGGACTTTGGGCCAGTCACTCTTTCTCAGCAAAACCTACCTGATTGCATTGTTTAGGGTAATAGCCAGGACCACTGCAAGAAGGTGGGCACAAAATCCATTCACCATTTGATATATGCAAAATCTCTTCCCCATTTATCTGTCAAATCAATTTTATTTATCAGATTTAGACAAATGACTCTGGGTGGCTTACAGGTACAATAGATAAAACCATATAAAAGACATACACTTAAGAATAGAATTAAAAACAGGAAAGAGTAAAACATACACTGTCAGCCTTATTTTATTTTGATCTCGTTTTGTCCATGCATTGTCAGACTACTTGCCTATCCCAGGTTAAATTAAGTGGGAAATTCCCGACGATTCTCAGTAAATTTAGGACCCCTGAAAATTTTCCAAATCAATTATTTATCAACCTATAAATTTGGCGATGGAAGGGCAACTGATTTCTAAGAAGATGAGATTAGAATGATGTGTTAGTACAGGGGTGGGCAAATGTGGCCCTTTTAAGAACCTGGAAACTGTCCACAGGTTGTAAAAGGGCCACATTTGCCCACCCCTGTGTTAGTAGGATGGAAGTAGTCCAAAAATGGGGGCGGGGTGGAGAGTCCTTAAAAAAAAAAACCTACAGAGACAATATAAAGCAAGCAGGTCTCTTATGGAATTTTCGAACGGATTAGCATGAAAACTCTGACGTAATCGTAGGCTTCTAACACTCTCCGAATGCCAGTCCGTTTTCTTAAAGCTATTGCCGGAGTTTATCTCTTCCGCTCTACTGACGAGCCTTTCGACGGCGGCCGCTTGGAGTCAACTTCATTGGAACGCGAGAGGAAAATGGCAGCCTCCTTAGAAGTGTCCCATGTAGCTTGCTCCGCTAACCGCGCCGGCCCCGGAGTGATCTCTTGGGGGAGAGGAGCTCTATTGGCGTTCGGGTCTTGTCGTTCTGTCATCCTCTATGACCCACAGGTGAGGCGTGAACGGAGGTCGAGGATTTTGGTCCAGAGGGCTTCTTCGTGTTCAGCTAGCGAGCTCCCTGAACATGTGTTTTGGAGGCGTGCAATGGGATAGAGGCGCGGGTGCGGGGGGGGGGCATTTGATTCCTGCTTCTTCTTGGGTGTCTTGATGCAACTGAGTCGGTTGTCTTCCCAGTAATGGGGAAAAGTGACTTGCTTTGTTTCTGCGTCTGGTGTTCTTACGGAGGTACAGCAGCTTTGGAAAGGGTTGATTATAATGGCGAGCGAGCCTCAATCCTGAACATTACTGGGTGCCGTTTTCTCTTCGTGTAATTGGTTGGTTATAAACGGTGGATGAAACGGTGGAAGAGACCTGGGACAACTTCTGGAGTTTATGGAATAAAGGGATAATAAAAACATAATAAACATTATTACAGAATTTTCTTGGGACATGCATAAATGCCAGTGTAGCAGAACATTACCTTTATTGTAGTCAATGACCCGTCCATAACACTTTGATGCATAAAATTAATCCTCATTATTTATTTATTTCATTGCATTCATACAGCTGCCAATCTCACAGCCAAGTGATTCTTAGCGGCATATAGCAAAGCTAACAACAAATAACTGTTAAAAAATTTAAAATGATAAAAAGCACAAGGAAGTGTATATTTAGTTTATTATCTCTACTGCTGCTCTTCATCAAATGCTCTGGTTAAGGACAACTGAAGTTACTGAGCAGTGTACATGTTTTAACCTCTTGCTGGAAGCAGCTTGCCATAGAAATAATTCCCTCTGTTTTTAATCAGTTTGTGAACTTGATCAGTCTATAAACTTCAGAGCAGAGAGGCGATGAAATTCTGGGCCTTCCAAGTCATAAGGCAACACTCATGGTACTACACTGTATAAACAGATGGAAAGATATATGTTTCCAATACATTTCCATGCTATTAGTTGGTTAACTGAACAAAATTGCCGGTCAGATTGCTGCGTAGCACTGTAGTGTAGGTACTGGATCAGAAAAAGCAAAATTGTTATGCTGCTGATTTTTGCTTGTACTCAGTGTCTGGTGTATCTCACTGCAATCTCCAACAATAGCCACGCAGCACTGATGAATTTCAGTTGCCCTGATACTGGTTTTCCATTGTGAAAGTGTCCTAGTGAAATCTTTCTCCATGTTTGTCGCTGACTGCACCTAGATTTTCAGGAAAGAAGTCCAAGTGTGAATGCAGAAAATGTATCTTCAATGATATGTAGCACTTCAAGGCCTTGTATGCTGTAAATTTGTAAAAACAGTTGAATGTAGTTTGGTGCTGTGTAGTTGTCAAGAAAATTCTCAACAATATCCTTGAATGCTTTCCAGGCAATTTTCTCTAGCCTCACTAACAGATCTTCAAACCACTTGTCATTGATGATGTATCTGATCTGTGGACCAATAAAAATGCCTTCTTTAATCTTGTCATCAGTTATTCTTGGAAACATCTGTCTCAAATAAGATACTATTTCAGCGTCTCTGAAGTTTTTTCCTCTGAAGAACAAAATTTTCCTAATTTCTTTTTATAATTGGCTTGTATGTGGTTTTTTTTTCTCTAGAAAAGAAAAGTAGTGGGAATACTGAATGGTCATACTGAGAGAATTAATTGTGTTAAGTGGATTCGCAGAAAAGATGGATGTAAGTACAGTATCAATGTGCAAACAAGAATTTGCCTGTTTGTAATGCTTCTACTTTGTACCTAGAATAATAGAAAATACTGGTAGAGAATTTAAAATTTGTGTTCATTTATAAAGTAAAGGCACTGTAAATAGGAACACTGAAAAAAACCCATGATATCCTTGATACATTGCACTTAACCAAATTTCCATTGATTTAAAAGCCATTCCAAGCTTTGGATTTTTTGGGTAAATGTTATACTCCAAGAAAGAACAAAGACCAGTTTATATATACATGTTTTATTTTATTTTATTGGTTTTCAATATTATATTTTATTATTTCATTTTAAAATGTAACTTTATTATTTTGGCAGGATAGGTGATAATAAAAAAGAAAAAAAATGTATTTTTCTTTATCAGTAGAGGGAGCTATGATACAGAGACTGTCATAGTTTCTCTGCTAATATAAGTGGCATTTTTGCTCATTTTGTCCCAGAGAAGTATAGTGGAAAATGTGCTGCTTTTTGCCCCTTAAGTCAACAATATCTTGTTTTTAAAGGATCGAAAGAACTGTATGTAGCCTTTTAGCAAGTGAAAGACTGGGTAAGGGTAGAAAAAAAGCACATGGAAATTAGAGGAGAGGGAGGAGGCTGATGAAGATGGAGATCAGGCAAAGCTTAGGGAAAGCAGTGGGAAATTCTAGAAAGATTTATTTCATGTTATTTTTCTCATGCAATTTCTGAGTGCTCAATTCACAGATTGCAATTCTGAGTGGCTAACATACAATTTAAATATAGAAGAAAATATGTAATAAACATGAAGATCTGAAAGACCAGGGCAGAGAAAATCTATATGATCTTTGAGACAACCCCAACTTGGTGGTGCATAGTCAAAATAAAAAACACACAAACACATCATAAAATAGCGTAAACCAAGGCCATAATGCATTATTTCAATATTAACAACAGACTGGGTTATCCAAAGTCTTGGTCCAATATTTATGTAACTCTCAATATTTTAAGCATGCATATTTTTTTTTCTCTTCTGCAAGTTCTCTAAAGTACTATCTGGGTTATAATAACAAGAAAGACTTGATTTGACCATGACTGCCATATTATGCACTTTGAATGCACCCTGAAATAATAGTCAAAGCTTATTTTTTCCAAAACATTTATTTATCAGTTATCTAAAATTTACATTAACGACTTTAACTGATATCTCTCCACTCCCTTGGTCCATAAAAATCAGTGTTATTTTATTGTTGTATGAGTGCCCTCTAGTGGACATTTGTACATTCAAAATGCATTTCTGAAGGATATACATTTTTCTAGGCCAATAATGCTTGAAACCTTTGAGAAATTTAGAGGTTGGAATGATACTGTTATATATGTGAAGTGACTTCTCTACTATATCCAGTGGCTTCATTAATAAATCAAATTGATGATCTGATGTGATTCTAGAAGAATTTAACATCAACTCCATACTTCTACCTTAGTGCTTTTAATCAAGTTTCTTGGTAATCCTCCTGTTTTATATTGAGGACCTGCATTGTGAACTACCAAGGTTCCTGCCCACATGGTTTTTTTTTTTAATTAAAAAAGAGTGATGAAATATTGGTAAACAAGCTGCCAGTGATATTTATATTTCTAGTATTTCTAGCCAGGGTATTTGCGAGACCGCCTGCTGCTACCGATAACCTCTCACCGGCCAATACGCTCTCACAGAGAGGGCCTCCTCAGGGTGCCGTCAGTCAGGCAATGTTGGCTGGCGGCCCCCAGGGGGAGAGCCTTCTCTGTGGGGGCACCCACCCTGTGGAATGAACTGCCTCCTGGAATACGATTGATCCCGGACCTCCATACCTTCCGTAAAGCCCTGAAGACGTTTTTATTCCATCAAGCCGGCCTAGCCTAAATGATTTTTAAATTGGGATTTTAAATTTTATGGATTTGGGGGTTTTAAATTGGAAGCTAGTTGGAAGTTAATTCTTTTTAATTATCTTAACTTTTGTATTTGTATGTTTTTTTAATTTTGGCTGTTCACCGCCCTGAGTCCCTTCTGGGAGAAGGGCGGTATATAAATTAAATAAATAAATAATGCTTCTTGACCCCAAATGGTCTTTTGAACATTCAGTTAATTGAAGCCCAAAAACTTCAACTGGAAATGTGTAGACCTTCCTGGAAATATGGCAAAATAATCAGAAGTTCGAAAATAATTTGGTCTAGTGCCTAAGGCAAGAAAGTGCACTTGAAACTAGAGATTATGAATTCTAGTCCCACTTTAGGCATGAAGGCTGGCTGGGTGACTTTGGGCCAATCATTCTCTCATAGCTCAACTCATCTTCCAGGGTTGTTGTTCTGGCGAAAACAGGAGAAGGAAGGAGTATTAAGTATGTTCATTGCCTTGAGTTATTTATAAAAACAAAGTTGGGATAATAAGTAAATAAATACACATTTTTTAAAAAAGATAGGAAATGTAGATTATATGGAAGCAATGTTCCAATAAAATAGTGCTTCGTAACTTGCTAAATTGTCCACAGCAGCCATTTTACAAATGTACAAGACACAAGACCACCACAAATTTTGCAAGAATTCCTCAATATTCTGTCAGGTAAAAAAGATTAAGTGGTCCTGCATGGGAGATAGCAGCTCTCAATTCACATGACCTATTCCACAATGGGTTAAAATGCTACATTTAACAACTTAATACTGAAGACCTATTTTGTGATTCTTGGGGTGCCAGGAGGCCAGGAGTTAGGAATCTTTTAATCAATAGAACTAAGAATTTGTTCCTATTAATAGCATTCTTATGAATGGAAAATGAGGAAAAGATGTAAGTTGATTTGATTTAATGTATATAAATCTATTACATAATAAATAAAATATCTGCTGAGAAGACTATAATTCATACCAAACACAGACACAGCTTAAATGAAAAGTAATGCCGCTAATGTTATAAATGACCAACAGGTGGCAGTATTGATGCCGTAAAATGGGTTTACAACTCTCGGGCCCTGCAAGGGATGAGTGGGCGAGTATGCAAATCTCCATTTGCACAAATGATGGGTGCGCAAGCCTGCCACTTGTACAAATGGAGTTGCTTGCACGCATGCGCACATGCTCCTACAACTTGCGCAAAACCTTTCCCTTGCCCTCCCCCCCACGCCACGTCCCACGCAACTGCCACTGGCTGGTCCGCAGAACTGAAAAAATTGAGGGCAGCTGCTCTACAAGCTTTGACGTGTTCTTTGACGTGTTCTTCTCTCACTTCATTTGATGGATTGTTGCTTTGAGAAAACAGCAACTTTTGTGTTGCTATAGTTCATGAAATGGAAGTCTGCAGTGAAGTTTGCTTTTAAGCAAAGCACTGTGAAAAGGTATATAGTAAACCTCTACTTATTTTTCTATATAAAGGAATGAGATCATCTGTTTAATGCAAAGCAGAATGAATAAATTTTATTCTAGTGAATTTGTAAGATTCTGTTCAGGATTTATTGTCTTTCTCAATCTGTTAGCCTACAGATGCGTTGGAATCATTTTAAAATTACCAGGTAACATGACTATAAAATATACAGGCTAACTCTTTTGAGAATTAATTTTCTGCAGAGGGTAAAGCTGGAGAATGTTGATTTATTATTCTTAGAGTATGAGACTCCTATTTTTTTTCCTTTGAAAGTAATAAAAAATAAAGTGAAAACTAACTCTTTTCTACCATTATGTACAAATACATTTTATTCTTAAAAAGAACAGCTTAGATACAGAGTAGTACATGAAAAATAATTTTGACCTGGATTATTCAATCTTTTTATATCCCTCTGTATAATAGCTTATGAAACGGAATTAATATCTGGCGGTTCAGACAAAGTTCTTATTCTTTGGGAAATTCAAAATGAGAAGGTATGTAGAAATATCATGGTAAGTGAAGATATAACCTTGTATACATGACTTTTAAAAAATAAGTTGAGCAAGAGAAGAAACCAAACCAGAATTTCTTAAATCATCAGTTATTGATGTTATCTCCTTGTGGTATTATGAAAGATACAGCTCCAATTGTGTTGTGTTAAACAGTATATACAAAGTAAAAGATTTATTGCTATCATCCAAGTTCAAACTTTATTTCATTGTGAGAAACAGTATGAAATGAAATATAGTTATAAAAGTTGTCCTCATTTAATTCCACAATTGGGACTGGCAACTTGGTTGTTGAGCGAAGTGGTCACAAAGTAAAATTGCAGCTATGCTTATGACCTTACTTAAGCCTTCCTTTGCTTTAAGGGCCTTCAGAGGTCATAAATGTGAGGATTGGTTCTAAAGTTACTTTTTCATTACCATTGTAACTGTGAAGAGTTGCTAAATGAGGCAGTCACTAAAATGAGGACTGCCTGTGTACGAGTCTGAGCTATGACAAATATGACAAATGTTTGTCCTTAATGTAAAAGGGGGAAAAAAATCTAAACAGATTTCCTTAAAAACCTGTGTTTGCAGCACAAAGAACTTGAAACTTTTCTAAAATGATGCTTGAGAGTCTTTGATATCTGAACTCTGTAATTAGTGCCACATGCGCTTACATGAAATCTCAAAATATAGTTTGCCTAAGCTATAGTACAGAAATATTCTCATTCTTTGAAAAGAATCATTCTCTGTAATCAGCCTTAATACTGCAGCCTTATTTACTTTGGAACCTGCTACTGTGTTGGGAAAGAAAAAAAAGATGGGTTTTTAAGCTACTGGTTTTTTTGGCATCCTTAAATGCTGCCAGCTGCTATAGCAGCAAGGCAAGATATAACTGTTGTGTAAGAGAACAACTTCATCTTTTCCACAATAATAGGAATACTACTGTCGGATTATGAAATGTGACACAATTTATTATGCTGATAGAAGAGAATATTAGTAGTTCAGGATTGAACTGAACCTTAGTGCTCTCTGAGCTTGGCTGTTTTCTTGCAGATGTTTCATTACTAAACTAGGTAACATTGTTAGTGCTATAGGGAGTGGGGTTTGCTCTCACTTTTTATATTCTAGTGGCTTGCCTGTCAGTGTTGATGGGGATGGTCTTGGTGGTTTCTTGATTTGGGCTGTTGTTATTGTTATTTTGTTTGGCAGATCCTTGATTGTTTCTTGATTGTCAGTCTAATATTAATCTTGATGTTAATCTTTGCTCATATGGGTGTTGATTGCTGATTAGGAGGTGTTTTGGTCTTTTTGTTTCCTTTCTGGCTATTTGATTATCTCTTTTGAATGGTATGTAGATGCCACTCATGTCTATGTGCTTGTTGATGGGCGATTTGTCTGAATGGCAAATCAGTAAGATGACACCCAGAGATGAGCTTCTGAGTGCATGCCTGAAGGAGCAGCAGACATGGGAAGATGATCAAGCAGAGGAAGTGTCATGGCAAAACAAGACATGCTTACGATGTACAATTGATAGACAGCTGAAGTGGCTGACAATTCTATCAGAGGCTTTGAAAGGGCTGGACACAAGAACAGATGCCAAGCATCAGATCCATAGAAGCAGGGGTCTAACCACATTAGACAGGACCCGAGTTGCAGACTGTGCAGAGAGGCCTCGGAGACAGTCCAAACATAGTGACAGGGTATAAGATGCAGGCAGAAACAGCAGACTGAACGGCACAGACAAAATTGGGTACAGGACCTTCTGCACAGTGTATGGGCTAGACTGTCTCAAGTCCAGATGTGAGATTCTACAGAAGGTTGTGGAGAATAACAGGGGTAAGATCCTGTCGGACTTTTAGATCCAGACAGATAGGCAGGTACTGGCCAATGAACTAGACATTGTGGTAGTAGACAAGGAGCAGAACACAGCAGTGGTGATAAATATAGTGGTGCCAAGTGACAGGAATATCGGGAAGAAGTATGAGAAGCTAAAGAAGTACCAGGGCCTGAAGGCGGAAGTAGAGAGGATGTGAAACATAAAGACCAAATTGGTCCCAGAGGTGATACTGGTAGGAACACTCAGAACTTTGACTCCTAAACTAGGAAAGTGGCTCCAACAGATCCCAAGAACATCAGAGCTCTCTGTCCAGAAGAATGCAATGCTAAGGACAGCTAAGATACTGCACAGAACCATCAAACTCTCAGACCTCAGGTAAAGGACTCGAGATTGAGGAAGACACATATCACCCATATGAGCGAGAAGGAATTAAAAATATAACAGGTGCTTCCATCAATGTATGTCAATACAGTACTTTTGAGGCCCAGTAAAGGACAGAAACAAAGCCACCAGTTTCTAAATCAAGGAGAGAAAGTGAGACCAAATGGAAGAAAGTCCATTTTTTTTTCTTTTTTGGAAAATGAATATCAGTGCTCCTGAATTAAGAGTTGTCCACTGTATATTGTAATTATGATCCAAACTGTGTATAATCTTACTTTAAAAACTTCCTCCCTACATTGTTTTTAGAAATTATTTTAGAGAATGAAGGTTAGGTGTTAGTATGTGGCTTTTACATACATATGGAAAATATTCCATAATCATTTTTAATATTTTCTGCTGTCTTCCATGTTTATGATTTTCCATAACTCTAATGATTGTTAGATAATGTAATAATTATATGATTGGTTAATATGTGTTTGTAAAAATATTATGCAATTGCAAAAGTTTTTACATATATCACTCACTTAAAAAAACAATCCTGTTCATCATTAACTGATAAGAGGTACTTACTTTTTAAAATAAGGTTTTATAAAAAGGTATATTTTATCTAAGAGCACCTGGAAGCTCTTTGAAGATACATTAAATGACTTAACCAACATTAATCTGAGATTATTCTTTTTAGGAAATCTGTGCTACTTTTCTCCTTTGCCTTAAAACTTCTTCTCAAATATGTTTTTGTTCAATTTATCTGAACTTTTAGAATAGTTGCAAAAAGACATTGAAACAAATCCTCTATCTTTTTGTTTTTTGAACACTATAAAATTTTAGTTTTTACCCTAGCAAAGTCTAATATAAAACCCAATATAAATTGCAAATAAAAGCTCTGTACATGACTTCTAACTGAGTGAAAAAAATTGAACATACAGTTATACTGTAGAGCTACTTATTCTCTCTGCTTAAACTCTATTGTTACACTTGTATTACATTTCAGTTACTTCCTTGGCTGCACAAAGTTGAAAATTGTACAATCGTATGATGGTATAGTTTGAATTTCAGGGTTATTCTTCTTTGTAATTTTATAATTTTCTGTTTAGCTTGTGAATGATGTGCACCTCGAAGGTCACACTGAAGCAATTTGTGCACTAGATGCTGTTTACCTGAGAAATGAAAACGCAGTAGGATCAAGCCTACTAATAGCTTCTGCAGCTTCAGATTCAACTGTCAAAATTTGGTCCAGACAAGAAACAGAAGGTAAAAAATCCTTTTCCTTTGCTCTGTGAAGGTACCATGTATCAAAGAATACCTTAAGTAACACCCCCCCCCCAATATTCCAGATTGCTTCACTTCTTGTGTATGAGGGAAATGTATTCCACTTTATCCTGCCCAATGTACCTCCACTGCACTAACCTTATTAGGCTAAGAGAAGACTATAGCACAGGGCCCCCCAACCTCTGGGCTGCGGCCCACCTCCAGGCCTTGAGCCATTCGGAACCGGACCATGGAAGTGGCAGGTGAGTGTGCACGCATCCCCACTTGCGTGAACAGGCGAATGTGTACACATACTCCATTTGTGCAAGCAGCTGGTGTGCGCGCGCAAATGGAGCTACTTGTGTGCATGCTTGCCTGTTGTGCGGAACCATCCCATCTCCCCCTCCTGCTGGTCCACAAAGCCAAAAAGGCTGGGGAATTCTGCTCTAGCCCAAAGGCTTCCAAGGCTTATTTGACTTTGTGTGGACTTGAAGCAAGATAGCAGCTGGCAATTAATTATAATTTTGGACAGAAGAAGAGGTAAAATCCTCCCCTCCCCTTCCTGCAATGAATCTCCCTGCATTGCTTGGCTGTCAAGCCCCATCTCCAAACAGTTAGAAACGCATGAATATATGAGGTTAGCATTTTTAAATTGTGCTCTTTGCAAAAATGCAGACCATGTCTGGCAGAGATCCTCCCTATTTTTTGCAATCTTCATTTTACTGGTTGTAGCAGCTGGATTAGAACAGATGCTAATGCTGCATAATACTTCATAGTTTGACTGTATTTCAGAGTTGCTGACATAGATTCCATGTTTATTTTATTCTTCTTTGTTGATGCCATGAAACTACAGCTTAATTATTATACAAAGAATAAACAAGTGAAGTTCATACACATTCATATGAACCAGTTTCAGATTAGGTTGTCTGGAAAGGTGTTTGTTATAGTTGACTAAAAAGGTGATATACTTTTAACCTTTGTCATTATAAGACGGCTAAATCACTGTGCATGAGAGGTGCAGGAATCTGTAGAAAATAAATGAGCAATTGCTGAAAATAGTTCAGTTGCTATTCAAGAGCATTGCATCTCTTAAACATCAGGTATTGTGGATAAATAATGAAATATAATAAATAAATATATTTGTATTATGATATTTATAGTAAGGATTATGACCATTGCTGTTATAAAGTCCTATGTTGCCTTCTGACTATCATCTTTCCTTGACTAAAACCAACTTCTCTATTGTTGATTTTCTCTATGTTATATCACGGTTTACATTAATCTTGGGTAAATTTTAAATTTCTTTATGACTACAGTTAGCAAAGCTGAGCAATGCTTTGGATTCAAAGGCAAAAAGATGCTTCAAAGCACAGGAAGATAGGATCTGCCTGCAATTTCTGAAACCAAATGCACTTTTTGAGGGATCATATGGCAGCTTTGCAACCATGCGGAAAATCTGAACTGCTTTAAGGAGATGGAGGCCGGGTGTTACTTTTATGCTTTGAAGCACATTTTTGCCTTTGAAATATAATAATTAGTACATGATTTCTATATTTTTATTAAATATCTTAAGTGTTCACTGTGAATAATGCAACTTTATTTTTTTCTCTCTCCTTAGTTAAGTGCCTTCAGACATTGATGTTTGGAAATGGATTTGTTATGGATGTTTCGTTGTCCTTCTTGCCAGGCAATGACAGTAAGAGTGGCTGTGTAATTTTTTTAATCATTTCATGAAATACCCAGTGGTGCCAGTGCATATGGATGTGCTCTTATTAAGAGCTAGTTTTCTACTATCTGATCCTAGAACTTGCTAAGTGAGAAATCATTGATCATCATATATTCTGATTTACTGGATAAGTAACCTGTCATCTTTTTAAAAAGCCTGTTAAAATCCCACTAAAATCTTTAGACCAAGATATTTTGATCTATTGTTGTTGCTGAGGGGAGATCCCTAAGAATTAGATTTTTAGTTTAAGTTTATTATACCCTTTGTGTGATTTGACTCTTTATTTTTTTAAGAGTGAGTTCCTTGAATCTGTTTAATAACAGTGTAATTTTTACTTGTTTATTGGATTTACATCTTGCCTGCCGAGATGTCAAAGCAGCAGGCAGCATGTTCTGTCTTCCTATTATTATTGCATAGTTATTATTTCTATTAGTGTTGTGTACAGGGGTGAAATGCTACTGGTTCGCTCTGGTTCAGGTGAACCGGTAATGATAAAAAAAAAAAAGCTACTGGTTCCTCTGAACCGGTATTTCCGATGATCAGCTGTGCCGCACGATTTAGCTTTGCTAGAAAGCAGGATTTCCTGCTTTCTAGCGAAGCTAAACCGTGCGGCACAGCTGATCCCCCCTCGCTGTTCTACTTACCTTCCCAAGTCTCCTTTTGGCGTGTAATGTGCATGTGTGTGCGTGCAGCATGCACTTGGCATGCAGCACGCATGCACAGCCAGAAAACCAGTAGCAAACCGGTTCATATTTCACCACTGGTTGTGTAATAGGAAGGAGTGTGAGAGAGAATGATGGACCCAGAGTCACTCAGTAAGCTTTTCTGCCTCATGGTAGAGTAGAATGTGGAACTTTCAGCATCCTATATCTGAACAACTATAACCCCTTTGAAATTCTCATTGAGTTTGGTGGGATATACTTCCAGGTATATGATCTATGTGGTGCTATGGATTTAGTTCCAAAGAATCACTTAGAACATGCAGGAACTTGAAACTTTTACCTGTCTGTAATTCTTCAAAATAGCTTTTTCTTTTCCAAGCGCTGTATAGTAGTTCTCTACTGCTGCCACACAGTTTAGGGGAAAGTTGAAGATGCTTTAAAGAAAGAGATCCTACCCTCAAATGCCAAAGCTCCTTTTTGGAATTGAATCCAATATGCTGCCTAGCCCTAGTAGATATACAGTCATTGTCTTGAACTGTAACCTTATGTGTATCTTCTCAGAAGTAAATCCCACAGAGTATGAAATAGAATTTACTCCTAGGCAAGTGTGACTATCATTTCCTCTTCCATAAATGCTTTATCTTGTTTCTATTTTCTTTTGCTTCATTACATTTAGTTGAAACAGCAACTTTTCAATGATCTTTTATTTCAGTACCGGTACTCGCTTGTGGTGGTGATGATTGCAGAATTCACTTATATGTGCAACAGGCTGGAGAGGTAGCTATTGTTTCTGCTTCTTAGTCTATAGGATTTATCTTGTGGTGTCTCGTTTCTTAACTTTTAACTTTTCAAGATTTATACCCTGTTTAATTCCTGAATCTAAAGTTCAAAGTTTAAAATCCCTAGTTTAGAGATAATATTTCTGGAGAGTAATTGTCTTCAGCTGATTGAAGGTGTCATTTTGATAACTAATTAGCCGTATTCAAATAAAGTTATTTCAAAGCAGGCTCATTTATCGATGTCAGGTTAATCTATTGGGATTTCAGTGCTAAATAGTTAATTTGTTCTTCTCCAGGGGAGAAGCTGGGGAAAGGAAAGAAATGGGTCTAAAGGCCTTGTTAGTGAAACCCACTTTATTTCTAGTCCTCTACTTCAGACAAAGATTGTCCTGAGGAAATTGGGCAATATTGGTGCTTAAAATACTTCACAGCCTCCATGCAGTGGTTCAGGACTTTGATAGCATGCCTGGTTGAGCTCAGAGTGGCTGTGTGTACAGCAGGGTATCATCAGTACATTGATGATATATTACTTTACCTCAAATAATGTGTGACCTCTCTTAGCAATTTGATTTAAATATTAAATTGCATTCAAAAGGGAGCTGAGGCCTCAGCACCCCGCATAGAAACAACCATGGGCACAACTATTTTCTCATGCACATTGACGGAATTGCCTGCTCAGGAAGGAACCGAACCTCTGAGGGAGTGGGGAAAGCTTCCAGTCATCTCCACTTTGCAGGCAAAGCGCAAGGTCGTTGCAAAATTCCCCTGTGACCTCAGGAAATTCTTTGGGAGCTTCGGGCATCCAAATTTGCCTTCACCTGGCAGAAGTCAAATGTGCCAATATGCTCCTTCCTTTACCTGATTTCTGTTTTTAGTATTTTAAAATACTAAATGTTGTTGTAAGTATTTTCATTTTGAATTGAGCTTGGATGCATATGGGCAATTCCCCAAGAATTTACCAACACAAGATAGATGTGAGTACTAGTCAGAATTCTAGCAGTTGCATTGGGTTCCAAAACAAGCTTGTGCAAAACACACTGTGTGGTTCCCATCTTGACACACTATATCAGTGATGGCTAACCTTTTCCGGACCGAGTGCCCAAAGCGTGCACACAAACGCGTGTGTGCGTGCCTGAACCCCCAAAATGCAATGTGTGCACAGCCCCCTACATGCGCCCCTCCCTGCGCATGCGGCCCCTGCATATGCCCCACTCCTGCACCTGCGTGCATCCCTGCACATGCCCCGTGCATGCACGTGCAGCCCCTCGCACACACAGACTCGACAACCAGCTGGCTGGTGGGAGGCATGCGCACATGCATGGTGGAGCTGAACTGGGGCGACAGCTCGTGTGCCCACAAAGAGGCCGCTGCGTGCCACCTGTGGCATGCGTGCCATAGGTTTGCCATCATAGCCCTATATGAAGCTGTGTAGAGTATATAGGAATGTTCTGAGTTCCAATCCTTACGAGAAATAAAAGTCTTGGAGTTTTGTACTTGCAAAACATTTGAGAGACACTGAGATTAAAGATTCTTCAATGTTACAGTAACAAATTTACTATGATAGAAATATCTATGGTCATAAACCAGGAAAGATGCAAAAAGCACCATATTGGATGTTAGGGAACCGCCAAGCTGCACAATGGAAAATTGTAATATATGTTTATGCTGCATATTGAGGGTGCTTGTTTATTTGTTTCAGTTTCAGAAATCTTTACTACTACATGGACATGAAGACTGGATAAGAGGAGTTGAATGGGCATTTTGTGGTAAATCTCATTGAATTTGGCTTATGAGATTTCAGGGGGGATTTCTCATGTTTTGCAGGCATAGAAACTGGACACTGTTTTGTTTATTAAGTAACCATTGTAAATATTGATTTCTTTGGGGCACTGAATATCCCTTTTAAACTCTTTCTTTAATGACTGCTTTATTAACTTTTTTTTTTTTTTTAAAAGATGGAGATCTGTATTTGGCAAGCTGTGCTCAGGATTGTCTGATAAGAATCTGGAAGATGCATGCAACTTCATTGTTTGGGGAAATCCAAGATGAGGACACTATTAGGTTGAAAGAGAATGTTTTCACCATAAAAAGTAGCAATGGTAAATCTGTTCTGTTATATTGGATTTTTTTTTCCAAATAAAAATGTTTCCAGCATGGTTAAATAAAAGATAAGATCTCATTCTTCTAATGCATTGTGGAAGAATGTGCTATTAATTAGCTGAAACACAGGCTTCACTTTGTTTTCTTTCAATTAATTTGATTGATGCCCCCATGACATCATAGATATCTGTTCTTGCACATTAATTAAATTTTGTCTGTGCTATATTCTTAATATACATTTACATTCTTTACATTAATATATTCCATAAATGGAATAGAAATAATTACATCCAACTGAATATAGTGAATGAATGTATAGTTTTTCCTTTCCATGTCAGCTGTGTGTTATATTTTATCTATCTGTGAAATATGTATTTGCATCCAGCACCTTGAATATACAGAAGTCCTCTGTCCTCTTCATATCTTTTTTTTAAGGATGAATTCACAGACACAGGATCATAAATTTTGTCATTGTGTTATTTGCAAGGCTGAGTCATTTATACAATGGCTAGATAAGTCTTGACAATTAATTTACTCTTTGACATTTGCTTTCCATTCTGATTGATTTCAACACATGTAACAGAATTTTCTTTCAACTTGCAATGTGGGAACTCTCTGATAGTGAGCTATTGCTTGGTACATGTAGTTTCAAATACAAAGAAGGTGAACTTGGCTGTTTTAAAAACAGGCTGGAATATTTTTTTTCACTCTCTTTTCCACTTCTTTTGTTTTGTGATAGGTGTAGATAAATCCTTTGCAGTTACCTTGGATTCAGTGCTAGCTGGCCATGAAAACTGGGTATATGGAGTTCATTGGCAGCCACCATATTTTAAAGGTAAGTGTGTAATTTCCAATTTGGGTTACTAATAGAGATGACAAGGAATGTAGAATTTATTGCCAAAATAGAGAACTCCATGTTGAGCTACTCCTTCTAATTCAAAGCATAGAAAATTTAAAATGTGTGATACAACAAATTATGGCTTTTTTTTACCGTATGTAGAAGTGAAGAGTCACAGTATCCAGGATTCAATTTACAAGATTTTAGTCCATGCACACCTTTGAAGACATTGTAAATTGCTACCTTCTTTCCAACTTCAGCCATGTATAGTTGTTTCGTGTGGCATTCTTGTAGACTTCCTATTTAAGTTTTTCTTCAGATGTGATTAAAAAAAACCTGTATTTGACAAAAATATATGAAAAAATGGGGATATTTTTTCCTGATACTGTAGATGGCAGGATGGAACAGCCAATGAAGTTACTATCTGCTTCAATGGACAAAACAGTGATCCTGTGGTCTCCAGATGATGAATCTGGAATGTGGTTGGAACAGGTAGATGTGGTTTTTCATTTCCTCTGTTTGTGTCATCAGAGTAAAAGAAATACGCAGGCTTCATTTGCTTCCTTTCTAAAGTGATTTCCCTGCCTGGCATTAACTACAGTCTTGAGTTGCATGTTCCCAAGTGCAAATTAAGGTACTTTTAATTGGAGATTGGAACTTTCGTTGAAACTGGATTAGTCAACCATCGCCACAAGGAAATCTGGCATGGTTTAAACATGGAAGCAGAGTCTATACTGGATAGGGGAAGGGTGGAACAGGCTTAGCATTTAACAACTATTTTGCAGGAAATCAGTTTTGGTTGATTAGGCAGTTGGAAGAAGCACTTTTTATATTGCTGCTGCCTTTGAGTTTGGCAAGTTAACCAAGCATTTAAAAATAACTGCTTTCATACAAAAATATGTGAAATAATTTCTAGAGATTGATTGTATTACTTTTTAGATTGTAGCATTTAATCCTAGCCTCCAGGGAAATATACCTCTATCAAAGTAATTATATAAACTTGCAAACTATCTTGCAAACCTGTTTTCAAAAGGCTTGATTTAATGTATTTTTTTAATTGTGCATGGTATTTGGATACATCTAGAATGACATTGTTTTAACTTCATTTTTAATGCAATTCTAAATCATTTGTCTTTTGCTCACAGTCCTTAATTAGCAGGGGGAAGGCACATACATTCATGCATATTGTATCTTACTTTTTCAAAAGGTCCGAATAGGAGAAGTGGGAGGAAATACGCTTGGATTTTTTGACTGTCAGTTCAGCCCAGACGGATCAATGATTCTTGCTCATGCTTTCCATGGAGCCCTTCATCTTTGGAAACAGACTTCTGCAAACAAGGCAAGAGAGAATTGATTTCTATCATCAAAGCATATATGGAATATCTTTATATAGGAAGAAGTGGCTTTTTGCTCATTCTATATAATCATGTTGTATATTTTTAAACATCTTTTATAAATTGAGGAGCATTGAGGAGGGGTTTCCTCTCTTTTCTGAGCAGTAATAAATAGCAAACCAGTTGAATTGAATAAGTTTGGATAATTAGGACATGCTTGGCCTTTGTGGGGAAAACAAATGGCTATGTGAAGTGACTTTTGGGTCCATCAGCTTTTATCTATTTGGCCCAGAATGATCTCTTCTTATAGCTTTCCCAGATCTGAGACAGACGGGTCTTTTCCCATGTAAGATTGAGAGTATCTTGGCGATGTTTCGACGAGGTCCCACTTGTCATCTTCAGGCTGGTGTCTTCAGCTTTGTGCATGTGCGAGCAAAGCGTGATCGGAGATGCTGTCTCTCTATAAATACTGGTGGGGAGGTGTGGAGTGCTGGCTTTGTTGTTGTAAGCAGGTTGGTTGGCTGTGTTGTTACATCTTGATTAGTTGATGGAGTTAATGTTTGCAGATTAGTCGGCTGTTTCGTAACATCCTGTGTGGGCGAGGTCCTAGCTGTGTGCCCATTAGGCCTTTGTGTTATAACGACCTGGGTAATGGGCCGTGTGGCAGCATCCTGAGCTCCAGTCAGGGGTGAAATGCTCCCGGTTCGGACTGGCTCGGGTGAGTAGGTGGCGATGGCGGCGGGCAGTTCGGAGAACCGGTAGCAAAAATCCCTTCTCCCACAGCCTCCAGCTTGCTTACCTTCGCACGCCTGCCTTGCTTCGCTTGCTGTAATCCCTGCAATCCATTGCATCAGCAAGCAACTGAATCTCCCTACCTGCAATCAAGCTCATCGGTGAGCAGCTTTATCTGCCTGCCTGCCTGCCTGTAAGTTTTTTTCCCCTTTGGGAGCTTTAAAAAAAATAGTTAATTGGGGTTTTTTTTTAGTTGTTCTTTTTTTAGACCTAGCCATTTAAAGTTTAGGAAGTTTTAAATTTAGCTGCTTTTGTATAAAAATAAAAATAAAATAAAATAATATTTGTGCAGCTTTCTGAGATTTTGTGTGTTTCTGTAGTGTTTCACTCTAACTACACAAACACACAAAATCTCACAAAGCTGTATGTGGAATTTTGTGTGTGTAAAGTGTGAAAGTTGGTTTTTTGGACATTTTGTGGCTGTGTGAGGTTCCTGCTTGTTGCAGGGGCCATTTTGCCCCTGCTTTTACATTGTGGGTGAGCCAGTTGTGTTGTGTTGTGTGTGTGTAAAGTGTGAAAGTTGTTTTTTTGGGGGCTTTTTGTGGCTGTGTGAGGTTCCTGCTTGTTGCAGGGGCCATTTTGGGTCTAGCACAGCTGCTTTTACATTGTGGGTGAGCCAGGGTTTTGTTTTTGTTTTTTTTTAAATTTGATTTATATGCCGCCCTTCTCCGGAGACTCAGGGCAGCTTACAATGCGTTAAGCAATAGCCTTCATACTTTTGTATATTTATACAAAGTCAGCTTATTGCCCCCACAAACTGGGTCCTCAATTTACCTACCTTAGAAAGGATGGAGCCTGGTGAGATTCGAACTTACAGTAATTGCAGACAGCTGGTGTTAATCACAATGCTATTAGTCTGCTGAGCCCCCAGGCCCCTATTTAGTTGTGTTGTGTTGTGTTTTGTAGGTTAAAAAAGGGCAAAGAAGTGACATCGACTTGGCCACATCCACTGACCACCAAGCCCTGCCCACTAATTAAGCCCTGCCCACAGAACCGGTAGCGAAAATTTTTAGATTTCACCCCTGGCTCCAGTGTTGTGACATCCTGACTCTTATGCTGCAACATCCTGGGTAGTTGGCTGTGTTGTAACATCCTGAGCTTTATGTTGTAACATCCTGAGTTCTGTGATGTGTTGTCTTGAGCAGAACAGCCAACCAACCCACTTATAACAACAAAGCCTCGCCACCTCCCCTAAGCTTAATATGCACATTGTAATTGTAATAGATTCTTTTATATATCAGTGTATATAATACTATTTTCCCAATTTGTACTCATCCCCCCCCCCCATTTGTTGGGGTTCTACATTCACGTCTTTGTCTTTAAACAATACCATTCTCTCTTTATGATTCTTTTATCACTTTCTCCATAAATATATTTAAATATCAGTAACATTTCTTCATACAATGTGTTCGTTGTCCCCTGCTGAATCACTAATATTTTAATATTTTAAATATTACTCAATGTTCCACTATAATTCCAATATCACAATTTTCTAGAAGCACCAATAAAACCAATTATTAGAGAGTATTTTTTAAAATTCTTTTACTTGGGTTAGATCTCTAGAATAAAAGTTGGAAGTTGTCTCACCCAGTTTCAATGCTCTGTCCATGAACCGCTCCAGCACAAATCTTATTGTTCCAGTTGTCATAGCTTGTGACTTGCCAAAGATGGCTGTCGTCCCTACTGCCGTTCGGGAGAGCTTTCTTCGGACTTAACGAGGAAATTGCGGTTTCCTCGTGGTCGACAAAGCACCTCTCCTTCCTTCACCACCCCTTAAGAACTGCTTTGACCCTGTAGGGTCTCCCAGCATGCAGATACCAGCTGGTTTTTACGGAGCTTGGTGGAGCTCTGCTATTTTCCAGCCGTTCCTGCCACGACGCCAACTGGTCTCCTTGTGTTTATTACAACATTCTGATCTGGATTCATCATGTTCCTCTTGAACATTGTCCGCTGCACCATTGGTTACTCCCTGTTTCGAAATTATTGTTTAGAATTCTATAGCTGAAAGCACTAAGGCTACATATGGTCACTGGAAGATTTGGGCTGAGCTTCCAAAGGCAGACATCTTAAAAGTGTCTGTTTCCTTTGTTATAAACTTTAAAAAACAACCGGAATCTTTTATCATCCAAGAATGACAATGTTCTTTGTAAAGCTTAAATTGATTTTCAACTTTAGTTCTTAGTGAAGAGGACTTCTATATCTAACTTTTACCTCATTCATGGATTACAATATAAATGTTTTTTATTTAGAGTGAATGGACTCCAGAAGTGATGATTTCAGGACATTTTAATTGTGTCCAAGATGTGAAGTGGGATCCAGAGGGAGACTTTATAATTTCTGTTGGTTCTGACCAAACCACAAGAATATTTGCTCCATGGAAAAGAGAGAACAACCCAGAGGTATGTTTTTCAAGCTTGTGAAATTATGTGGATGGAATAGCTAGTTTCAGACCATCCATTTCCAGACAGAAATAAGAGTATTTATTCTGGGCATGGACTCAGTGTGTGGAGAGGGTAAGGGAGATGACCTTCACAAAATAGGTAAGAACAATTGCTGTACCTAGACAAAAAGGAGTAAAATGTTCTTTAAGCCTTGGGAAGCAAGATAATAATTAGTAGCTCAGGTAAACTAATCCCTGATTCACTTGAGGAAGGAGTGGAAGGATAGTATAATCTGACTTCCAGGATTCTGTTTTTATAGCTTATCTCAATACACAGGTAGACTTCCACTTACAACAGTTCATTTAGTGACTGCTCAAAGTTACAATGGTACTGAAAAAAGTGACTTATGACTGTTTTTCACACTTATGACCATTGTAGCAGCCACATACTCATGGAATCAAAATTCAGATGCTTGGCAACTGACTCGTATGACACTTGCAGGGTCCTGGGGTAATGTAACATGCGACCTTCTAACAAGCAAAGTCAATGAGAAATCACTTAACAACCATGCTACTAACTTAACAATTGCAGTGATTCACTTAACAACGATGGGAAGAAAGGTCATAAAAAGTGGGGCAAAGTTCACTTAACAACTGTCTCCATTAGCAACAGACATTTTGGGCTCAATTGTGGTTGTACGTTGAGGTAGTTTTACTCTGATTGTGAAGTTGATTTTCTGCTCTGGTCTGCCTATTGAGACTAACAATGTGCATGTTTGATCTGAATGTTGACCTAAAACTCGGGTTATCAGGTAGAATGGAAGAAAGGCAAAGATAGGGATAGATGGACCTTGGGAAAATTGGAGGAGGGAAGGGCAGGGAGGCCAGTTGGCTATTCTACTGTCACCATATGTTTTTATTTATTTTATTTTATTTTATTTTATTTTATTATTTTATTTTTTATTTTATTTTATTTTATTTTATTTTATTTTATTTTATTTTATTTTATTTTTATTTTATTTTATTTTATTTTATTTTATTTTATTTTATTTTATTTTATTTCTATACCTCAGGGCGGTGTACAGCCTGATTAAAAGCACAAAGACAGACAAAATTTAAAAATAATTAAAATTATTAAATGATAGGCTCAATTTAAAACCCCAAATTTAAAATCCCATTTTTAAAAACCCAATTAAAATCTTTACCTTGATAGCCCAGCCTGGCGGAACAACAAGGTTTTGAGGGCACAGCGAAATATACATTTTATCATATGAAGTATTATGACTAGCCCACTAGTTCAAATACAATATATCAAATTTGCTCCTCTGATTATTGCAGGGCCTTCTTTTTCCAGTTTTGCTTAGATACCATAGCTAAGATTGATATTAGAGAAGGGGTAGGTAGGTTGGTTAGATATGTTAGACTTGAATTCAAGATTGGTAGGAAGCAAACTAGGATGAAAGGGAGCTCAGCAAAAGAAAACACTAGGAAGATTGATGGCCAAACTGGTGCATGGACCCTGCAGAGGGAGAGGTACTCTAAGCTTGCCCTACTTGTCCCACAAGAATCCTATCGAATTGGGCTGTGCCAAAACCCAGAATAACTAAGATATTATTATTCCAAATTTACCAGCCACAATATTCTTGTTTTGGGCACAACTCCTGTAGATAAATTAGAGCTAGCATATCTGAACTGCAAAACTCTGGATGACCACTGAATGGTACCAAACCGATACATAAATTTTAAATTCTGAAAGTTGTTAGGATTTTTACAACCAAGTTTTAAAACGAATATCTTTTTCCAACAGAATATGTAATCTGAACGATAGCTGTTTCTTAAACTTTCCTAAAATTTATGCATATTATATTTATATTGTTTAGTCGTTAACTACTATTGTATGACATTATCACATGAGTATAAACATTTAGAAGTTTATATTAAAATTAATTGTTTAAAAATAAAATATATAATTATACTTCATTATATCATACATGCAACATAGTTTGCATTGTTCATCTTCTGTTTTGAGTGAGGAATAAAGATTGTTAAAATAAAATTCAGGGGGAGACCAAACGGGGGGACAAAGTTGTATTTTAAACCAGGATAGGATTTTGGTCCCTTTCTGTCAGGTATTGGACAGATCAGCACTGTTTGTCAATTATTTATTAAAGAAAGAAGATTCTTGGCATTTCCAATGCAATCTGAATAGAGGCGAGAATGCATTTTTGTGGGAAATGAACTGAATGTATATTTTCAGCAAACTGTAATTCTAAAATTGATAAAAGATTGATAGAATTTAAAATGTTAAATTCTCCTATAGATTCTAAGATCGGTGCTTGTATAAATGCAGTGGTCCTTTTACTAGGTGTCATGGCATGAAATAGCAAGACCCCAAGTCCATGGGTATGATATGCAGTGTATAGCACTGACAGCACGGTTTCAGTTTGTATCTGGAGCAGATGAGAAAGTGCTTCGCGTGTTTACTGCGCCTAGAAATTTCATTGAGAACTTCAGCAGTATTTCTGGAATATCTCTGGAGAAATTATATTCTGGTGTAAGTTATGTATTCAGTTGCTTTAAAAGAATTAAAAATACTGTGTGCTACTTTTTATGTTTGCATCTCTTCATTTGAATTTGAGCACATTTTAAAACATATTACAGAAATGTAGAATGAACTCAGATATTCTTTACTTAAAGGGCGGATTGAGGTTTGAATTGTCAGGGGCTATAAAGCAGTCTCCTGACCTGTAGGCCATTTGAGAATGTTATAGTGTCATTGGAGAGGATAGGATTAACATTTTCCAGGTTGCATTTTGGGGGGAACGGCAAGGGGAGAACAGGAGCAGGGTGTCTCTATGAGTCAACTCACACCCATCCCCCCGTTTAGCCTATGGTAACCTTTTTGGTGAACAATTCAGGTCTGATTGGAGGATTACTGTCCATTTGTAAAAATGGACACATCAATACCTTGCTTCCAAGAACATCCCTGTTCTCACTGCTACCACTAAAAATTTTCCAGAATGTCAAAAATGGAACAAAATCAGGCTGAAAACTACAGTTTTAGGTAATTTGGGGGGACTTGGAGATAGAGTTTAAAGATAAGGAAGCAAAGAAGTAGCCCATAGAGGCCTTTGACTCTGTTTCCCACTTTTAATTTTAAAAGAAGAGACCAAAAATATGCATGGAGAGAATTAATGGTATTGCCAGTCCTGTGAAATAGACCTTGTCAAGAAACTAACTTCACAAGGACTAGAATTATATTCTGGTCTTACTCTATGCTCTAGAAGTATTCCCTAGTTCTAGTCTTCCTATGGAGTCAGTTTCTTGATGTGGTCTATTTTGTAGGCATTGGTCTGCGAACTGTGGTTTGCCTAACACTAGTGGTGCTGAAGATTGAGTTTGAGTTAGACGTAGTATTAAACTTGTTTTTTTGTGGAGATGTGAATATAATTTTAAATTTGAACATCTGCTTAGTTACAATCCAATCAAAATTCCTAGAAAATGCTCGTAATCTGTGCTGTATGGTATAATTGTTACTTTTGAAGATGTTTTGTATTTGTAACTTAAAACCATGGTTTTATTACTTATTACCTAATATGGTGTATAGATATTTGTACTTTATTCATTGAATGTGGTTGAACAGTTAGCATGATGTATGAACTCAATAGTACTTCTGTATGACCTAGAAAATTAGAACCAAAGCAAAGATTTTAAATTAATTTGAGATTTTTCTAGGAATTCCTTAGTATCATATATACTACATTTTAGATTTGTGACTCACGGAAAGAAGATATCTATAAATATCTATAATGAGAAGATTCAGACAATCATAAACAATATTTTCTTCTTCTTAGCAAATGGTGGATCTTCCAGAAGGGGCTACTGTACCAGCCTTAGGTTTATCCAATAAGGCTGTCTTTGAAGGTAATATCTGCCAGTGTGTGTACTTAACTGCATATTTGTGTACGTGAGTGTTTCTTTGATCATATTTGTGCTATGCAGGTTGATGAGAGAAATTAGCTGATAGATGAATGATCCTTAGTTAATTTTGTAATGCAAATTAGCATCTCCAATAATTAGAGATTTTGAAAATTGCAGCCTAATATATATGCATGGTAAAAAGTTTCTGTCACCTGGAAATTTTATCTTTTACCTTACATGGAAACATTTCTACAAATTTCTGCCTCCATTTTGTTGTTAAATTGGCAACATATGGCTTTACATATCAATTTAAACCATAAGATTGTTTGATATATTGTTTATTAGTACACAGGAACTCAGTCACTGTGAATTGTTCAATGGATGGTGGTTAAAGCACATCATGCTTTAAGTATACTGTAACGTGTAAACACCGATTCAATGCAGTTACAGAACTCTTTGACTTACAACCGGTCATTAAATGACTGTTCAGAGTTATGGCAATCTCAGAAAAAGTGCTTTATGGCCTGTAAAGCATTTCCAGCCATATAAAACATTACACTGCCCCTCCATGGTCATATCACTGCAGTTTGGGCACTTGACAATCAGCTCACATTTATGACTGGTTGCAGTCCTCCACAATCACATGATTTTTATGATTTGTGATTTCTTTTGCCATTTTCTAGCAAAACACGTCAGTTTGAGAGAATGAATTAGGACTTAAGACCATGTTATTTTATTTTATGTCAATGTTTATTTCTTGATACTTGGATAAAGTCAAATTGTCATTTCATGAAACCATACCTTGTTTTCCCGAAAATAAGACTCTATCTTATATTTTTTTGAACCCTGAAATAAAAGCTTGGCCTTATTTTCGGGGAGGTATTATTATTTTGGGGCGTGTAGAGCAAGATGGGGCTTCTCTTGCAGTCTTGCCTGAATTCCAGCTCTGCATTTAAATATTTTCGGAGAGAGCTTGTTTTCGGGGAGGGGGGGGAGGCTTATTTTAGCGCATGTGCTCAAAAGCCTGATTGGGCTTATTATCAGGGGATGTCTTATTTTCGGGAAAACAGGGTAGTTTAAAGTGACATAGTTTAGGCTCTGAGTGTAATGCTCATTTGAAATTAGTCAAAACAAAGGAAGATTTTGGTTCTTGTTTTTGAGGCTTCTTTCAGAAAAGAAAATCAGGAGGAAGGTATGAGCTGAGATTACTTGTGCTTGTTCCCATTATGTTAAACCATGGTTTGTTGCAGCATTTAATTCCTTCCTTCCTTCCTCCCTCCCTCCCTCCCTCCCTCCCTCCCTCCTAGACGTGTGTGTAGTTTGGAAATGATTTGAGAAAAGCTTCTCATAGTACCTCTGTGCTATTCATTAGTCACCTACCTTTTCCAAGCTTCTACCAAGCCTGAAAAAAAAATAAAGTTACTTTAAGGAGTTGATTCATTGCACCTCCTAATGCAGCTGGATCTGTTTTTCAAGCTTGCTCCAAAATGTGAAAAATGTTGGGTTGCTTTAATAAATAGTAGAAGCTTATCCCAAGCATTTCTCTAAATCAATTTTGAAGCTTGTGCAACTCTATTATGCATATCCCAATTCATCATTTAGTTTGTTATTATGATTTTATATATGATTGGTTTTGCATATTTATCATTGTTATGTTCTAGTGATGGAATATCTTATAAAAATAGAAAGTAATTGAAAAATGAAGTAACTTCTGCTTTTGCTTTTGAATTTAAACAATATCAAATTTGAAATCCTTTCTTTTAAGCCCCAAGCATCTATTTTGTTCACAAAGCAGCTACCTCGTTAAATGGATTGCCTTGACAATTTTGGATGTATTTTGAGCTCAAAAGCAGCTCTGTTTCAAACACAGGAAACACAGGTTTGGACTCCAAATACTTTCAAAATGATCAAAACAGAACCTTTCAGTTTCAAAATGGTTGGGATTCAAAATGTTCTGCATACTCCTATTGAACATCCACCACCCAAATCTTAAGAAGAAAGGGTGCGTAGCCTTTCTCTAACATTGTAAGAGAAGCCATGTGTTTGAATTGATAGAACAGGGCTTAGTAAGCAAATGATCTCAAAGACCCAAATGATACAACTATTTCTGCCTCAAAACCTCCTGGTAGTGCAACTCTCTGCATATCTTTTCAGAACTAAACCTTACTGAGTTTAGTGGAAGTTACTCTCAGATTAGTATGGATGGGATCTTCTGCTGTGCCATTGTGTTTGATTTTGTGAGTGTGAGGCTTCAGTCTGTTAGCAAATATAGAAGAAAGAAATTCAAATTAGCCACAGAGGATCTCTTTTAATATATTCACTAATATCTTACAATATTGTCATGCAGGTTCTAGTAGGTTATCATATTTTAATTTCTTTTGAGCACCTGATTTTGTTCAGTGGAGTTACTATATTAACACTGTATTGACTGAGCAAATGATGGCAGGTTAGACATGGGCTTTGAATTATTGGTTTCCACATGTTGGTATATTGTTTGAGTTCAGTATTAGCCCATGTATTTTCAGAAAACTCTGATTCTTGAATAGAAGCAATTCATCATAATTCATGACTCACAATCTGGATCAAATTATTCTCTTCTGTATATTTTTAAGTGTTTCCTTTTTTGAATGAGCTTCCTTTTATTATTAATGTTAGCATAATTGTTATGAAACTGCAAGCTTTAATTGCTTCAGAAATAGGCCTGGAGAGCTTAAATGCTTCTAAGCAATGGTAGGAGAGGGATAGAAATATTGATTCTCTTTGATTGCCCATTTCTGGATCAATGGGACAGTTAAAAATGGAGTTAGTTGACTCTGCAGTCTTATATTAACATACCAGAAGTTAGAAAGTTTCAGTCCTGAATAAATAATGAATAAATATTTGAACATTACATGAGGAAAAAGGAACCAAATAAATTGTAAAGCAATTTGTCCCAGGCTTTTGACCAGATTGTAAAAATTATGTCATTTGGGATTTCAAAGGGAAATTTAAAACAAAGAAATGCATTTCATAGCAATCCAGGAAATTTAAGAAATTATATAAGACCAGGAAAGTATTTATTATTACAGGTGGGGGTGTATATATTTGAGTGAGGAAAACCAAGGAGCTAGACGAGATCGGCATCGGGTCAGAGGCCGCAAAGGCACGACGCAGTCCAAGGCCCCAGTAGCCGCCCTGTCCCAGGCGACCACCAGGTCCTCAGTCGAGTCGTGAGCCAGAGTCTCAGGAAATGGCCCAAGCTCCATCAGGAACCTTTCGGGGTCCATCAGGCGCCTGGGACGGAACCATTTGGTTGGTTCCGTCTCCCTGCGGTGGGTGGAAGTGACTTGAAAGTCCATGTGAAGGAGAGAATGATCAGACCATGACAAGGGCTTGATGTCTATATCCCCTATTCTTAGATCATTCAGCCACTGATCAGAGACAAAAATCAAGTCCAGAGTGTGATTCCCCAAGTGGGTGGGGCCTTGAACTACCTGGATCAGGTCCATGGCCGCCATGGAAGTCATGAACTCCCGAGCCGTTTCTGACATCTCACCAGCGGATGGCAGGTTAAAATCCCCCATAACAATAAGTCTGGGGGTTTCCACCGCCACCCCGGCTATAATGTCGAGCAGCTCAGGCAGGACTGCTGTTACGTGGCAGGGAGCCAGGTACGCAATCAGTAGGCCCATCTGAATCCCCTGACCCCATTTCACAAGGAGGGACTCACATCCGGCTATCTGAGGAACAGTGGCCTCTCTCGGGCAAAGACTTTCTCTAATGATTGCTGCCACTCCCCCACCCCTTCCCTGAGTTCTTGGCTGATGGAATGCACGGAAACCTAGTGGGCACATTTCCACAAGGGGAACTCCTCCCTCCTGGCCTAACCAGGTCTCCGTAATCCTTGCCAGGTCAGCACCCCCCTCTGAAATAAGATCATGAATGAGGGGGGCTTTATTTACCACTGACCTGGCATTACATAACAGCCGTAGACCCAGGATCTGAGATTCTGAACAAACCGGGAAATGAGCAGTGCTTTGGGGGTTGGAGTGGGCAGTTGCTCGTAAACATCGAGTGCGCACTCCCGAAACATAATATGGCCCCCTGCAGCCGTCACATCTGCCCCTCCCACTTACTATACTAATGCCCATCGTTTCATCCCCCTGCATCCTTGTCAGATTTCTGTCCCCATCGTCCCCACCGTGATCATCAGACCCATTACCCCTTTCAGTGGATTTATGGATCCCCCCAGATCCATTCCCACAATCCCTCCCAGAACCCCTTAAAATAGAACTTAAAGATTTATCTAAAAACCCCCAAAGCCGTCAGTTTTTTGCAAACCACCTCTCGGGGCTCCAAAACCCGTCCTCAAGGGCGGCCCTTGATAACTGAAAGGGCCAGACATGCGAGAGGGGGGAATCTCGCAGTGCAAGGAGCTCCGCAATTGAATACATAAAGATAGGAGCGAGTTGAAGGAGATGAAGAATCATTTTCTTCTAAGAGTGTTAGAGATGGTTAAGACAGGTAATTTAAAATAAGGGAGGAAATAGATGTTAAAGGAAGACCAGTATGTTACAAATGTCAATACATCGGAACATCATCGCCCTCTCACGACGATGGGAAGTCTTGTGGTTGTAGTAAGTCCATCCAAAGGAGGTGGGGGTAGAGGTCTCAAAGGGTCGTCCTCTCACAGTGACCAAACCATTTGAAACAAACAAAGAGAAGGTGGTCTATCTCCCCATAATCCAAGACTCTCGATGTCTGTATCTCCTCCAGTCCTGATACCAGCGATGGCCAAGGATTAGATCAAAAAAGTAAGGCAGAGCCACTAGACAAAGTATTTAGGGTTAAATAATCAGGGTAATCTTGGGGAATAGGTGGTAAATAAAGCTGCAGATCGATCTAAGATTGCAAGTTAACGCTGAGTGGTCGTAATAGACCTAGATCTGATAAAGGAGAGAGGGACAGTTGAGGGGGAGAGTAAGTCATCATCTCCAGTTTGTAATCCTCAGTCCCTATCCATCACCTTGCTCAGGCTATTTAGTTCAATTAGTTTAATAAGTCCTCAGAGTTTCAAGAAAGAGGAGTGCAACAGATCCCTAGAGGTTGAAGGGATCCTAACGTTTATAGCCTTTGCAGCATTGCCCTCTCCTCTATTAACAACGAGGGCTTCCTTGCAGCCTCCTGGTGTTGCTGTCGCTGTCGCTGCCATTAGCGCCATTCCCCTCGCCATTGTGGTAACCCCCCTTGGCGTAGACATCGCCGCCGTGTTGCTACATGCAGCGCCTATTAGCCCAGGCATCATTATCAACACCCTATCCGGAGTTGCTGTTGCCACCGTCTCGCCAACCATTTCATCAGATGTATTAGACTCAGTGGTTGACCCGGTCGTGACAGCCAGGCTTTGATGTTGACATCCTCTGCACTGCCCTCAGTCTTTTTACCGACAAACAGCTGATCTTCAGGCTCGGCTCGGGTTTTATCCTTGGGCTCCATCCACAGTTCTATTGAGCCGAAAATACCTCAGCTTGCTGGGAGGGGGGGTCTATGGATGGTTAATTGACCCCCACACTCTTGAAAATGTCGAAACATCTCCCTCCTAGCCTCGGAGTTTCAGCTCTGAGCTGCCATTTTGTTTTGCAACTGTCAACGGAATTTTTATTTGGTATGTACTTATATCTAAGTATAAGATCTATGATTCCTCTCAACAACAGTTTTATATGGTAAGGTGTACTTTGAAAAAGTGAATAACCCAGCATCACCTAGTAAACTGCGGATGATGGAAAACTAAAATCTGGATCCCTCTCAGTCCAGTGCCACAGTTTTGAAAATTTTGAGCTCTGTGGATTATACTTTTGGACATTGGGATTTGATTCAGTTCTAAAAGGTGCTTTGGAACATGCGGGAGCATGACATAGTACCTAGCATCATATACCTCTTTAAGGCAGCTCTGTCTTTTCCAAGACAGAGTCCTTCAAACACAGTCCTTCACAGGAGCCACACCGTCATGGAGGTTCTATGTCCGAGCCCCAAAGCACCTTTTTGAAATTGAATTCAAACTCCTGTCTAAGCCTGTAAAATACAGAATTACTGCCTTGTAGTGTAAACTTATATATGCCCATTGAAGAGTAAATACAACTGCATAGTTGATTATTGTAATTCTGCATGACTGGCATTCCTCTTCCGTAAATGTTTTATCTTGCCTCTTTTTTCTTTTGGTTCATTATATTTGACTGAGAGTAGACTAGAACTTTGCTGTCCCTGTTCCTAGTTCAACCGTTTGAAGAATGCATCATTAATGAATGAATGGTTTTAATTCATCTTATCTTTTCATACTGCATTTTCCCCGTCATGATCATAAGAGCATAAGGAAATCTGAATGCATTGTTATACCAGCCTCTTTCTTTCATCCTGTTATGAGAGTTTAACTTATCCCAGCTGCTGTCATGGTTTGCATCATGAGGCCCAATTATTTTAACATGCAGTGTAATATCTTCTGACTTTCCTACTCATGCTGTTTAGATTATGGCTTAACTTGTCTTTAGATTCTTTTTATCTTGAAGCTGGAGTTGTTTCTTTCTGTTTTAGTGCTCGGTAACAGATGCCATCTTTTTTCAGGTTCCATACTTGGTGACTTTTAAAGCAATAACATTTGTATGTTTGCAGCTGCAGATACAACAGCTCAAAAAACTGAAGAAGAAAATCTCAGTAATGCTTCCAGACAGTACCGTGAAAATTACTTTCAGCCATGTAGTCTTTCAGGTATGCAATATATTAAATTCAGTACCTAATTCTGGAGTAAAGCTGGTTCTTCAAACAGCTGACAGGTTGACCAGTTCAGGATAAGGACAACAATACTGAATTGAATTATTTCTTTCAGAACCTCCCACAGAAGATCATCTCTTGCAGAATACACTGTGGCCCGAAACTCAAAAGTTGTAAGTTACTTTGTTTATAGATGTACAAACATACCTCCAAAATGGAAACCATTTAAAGTCCTCGGTTTTTGAGTAATTTCAATTTTACAGGTAGTTCGCAACTTATGACTGTAATGGAAGTAAAGGCTGGAAACGGCAAAAACCACAAAAAATTATGACTCACGTGGTTGTGGCACTGCAAACAGCTGTAAATGCAAACTGGTTGTCAACGTCCAAAATGCGATCATCCAACTGTAGGGTGTGTGTATGGCTGTCAAAACTTCAAAATTGGGTCATAACTAGCTCTGGGAAGATCAGTTGTAACTGAACAGTTGTTAAGTAGCTAGTTGTTAAGCAACGAGTACTTGTACAATTTTCCTGTTAAATGTGGAGTTCTGGGTTAAGTTAGAGCCAGATATATGATTGCATTTTTTAAAACTAGGTTGTGTATCCAACTCTTCATGAAAGGACCACAGTGCAGAGCTATGAACAAAGGGAAATGCTACTTCATTTCATTTAGCAGGCTTAGCAGGCAAAAGATTTATCAGAGTATTTTTCTTGTATTTCTACCATTTGAATGTTAATGCTAATCCAAACATGTCTGGTCTGTTCTTGGCTAAAGAGAGTAATAAAACAATATGAAGAAAGTGTGCAGAAAATGGCTTCCAGATTAATTTTTTTCATATTCTTTCCAGGAGCAGGCATAGGAGTAATGAGCTGCAGATGTATCTGTTCATGATCTCCCCTCATGTTATGTGTTTGTATATATGTGTCATTGGGGAGTGTGGGCAGGCTGAATACTCTCCACTCTGAATAACATGGAAGGAGGCTTAGAATGGAATTCCAGTCTAATTAATATTCTGTTCCAAAGGGATGGATTGGGAAATTTCTTCTGGAATTTTCTTCTCTGTAGGCTCTGGTCTAATCTGGCCTATGTTCAAGTTCTCTCTCTCTCACTCTATCTATCTCTAACTTCACTCTCTCATTTCCTCCATTTGTTGCATTTTTTGGAGAATTATTATTTTGCTGATTAACAGACAGATGCTCAGAATGAGCCATGTTAAATAATTTCTTTCCCACATTCTATTTCCTTGGAAAAAATAAAACCATTGAACTCTGCAGTGTGAGCAATACTGTAAGACATCAAGACTTTTACACATTCATAGATCTCTCAGAGGTATAATGCCTCTTTGGGGCCTTGCCTTTTAGATGTAAACCGGACTCACAAATATTCACAATATTCACCGGACTCACAAATATTCAAATATTTAAATATCTTTTAGTATTTTATACATTCAATTTTAAAATTGGTTTTAAATAGTTCGGGGTTTTAAATTTGTCAGAGCCAAAATTATTTAATTTGATTTTATTCTTTTTTAAATTTTGTATGTATGTGTTTTATTGTTTGGCTGTGCACCGCCCTGAGTCCTTCGGGAGTAGGGCGGTATAGAAATCAAATAAAATAAATTAAAAAATTCACCACATTTCCTGTACCTGTGCTTAAATATTGTGTATCAGTTACTAGTTAATGGTTGGTCACACAGTCAGCCAGATATTTATATTGGATTTGGTATTTTATCCACCTATCAAGTTCTGCCCAAGGACCCCGGATAGGGAGATGTTATTTCATAATGTTAAAGGTATCATCACAGGATGTAAGCTGTTCTCAAAAAAACTACCTTTTGCAGTTGATTGATGGTGACTTTTGTTAATGTTGATGGTGTTCAAATGTTACTCCAGATGTTTTGGGATTTCACCCAAGGAAGCTTGTCACTATCTTTGCTTTCTTTTACCATAGTCATTCTTCTGATTGCAGGTCTTTGTATTTTGTCATTTTTTCTGGTTCTTTCTCTTCTGTTCTGCTATCCACTATCCAGACTTTTTTGTCTTTCTTATTGACAGTTGTTAAGTCTAGGATGTTGTGTGGCAGGTGTTTGTCAAGTCTGGGGTGTTGTGTGGTATGTGCTTGTCTGTTCAAATTTTAAAGTCCCAGAACACTTTAGCTCCTTCATTTTTATTACTTTATCTATTTTGTGGTCCCACCAGTTCTGATATTGTTGTTATTAAATTTATTAGCCACCCAACCAGTGGACTCTGGGTATTATCCATGTTTAGTACAGTTTGAATAATAAACAGTTTTCTATATTCACAATCATGACTTTATACTTTTTACAAAAGAAAGTTCTTCTTTTTGTTGTTCACACAGAGGAGCACAATTTTAGGCCCCAAGTTTCAACACTCAATTGCAGCCTACAGTGACTTCAAAAGGTTGTTGTGATTGTTATTGTTGATGTAACAGAAGAAGAAATAATTAAATAAATGATGAAGAGTTATATTTAATATATAAATGCAAATCAAATCAAAACTGGTCATTTTAAACTACTTTTGCAATGAGCTTCCCAATATGCCACTTAAAGGCCAAATATGTATCTTAGCCAAACATGGCAAAGAGTTTGATTGGAAATGCTTCCATATTTAATCACTTAAATTCACTTAAAGAGAATTCCCTTCACCTGCCTTGGGGCAATCATGGAAGACTTCTGAAGAAGCTTGGAAGTTTGTTTAACAACATGTATGGATCCATTTCAAATTTACAGCTACTCTTAACTTCCTTTGCATTCATAGTAAGACAGAATATAAGTAAAATAATACCTACATTGCCATTAAACAGCTTCATTTTTCTTTTAAGCATTTTTTCATAATTGTCATTAAAATTTCTTTGTACAATAAGGCACATTTCCTTATCTCTGGTTATATAGGAAATTGAATAAGATTAAGGAAAAAAGATAAATGGAATTGGAAATTCATTACTCTTGAGTACAAAAAGAAATACGTGTATTTTAATATTTTGCATATACTTTGCACGCTCCTATTTACTCATCTGTGGATCTTCATGTTATAATAATACATGGGATACCTTTCCTTGATACCCACATCTAGTCCAAATAAAATATAGCTGTGCCCTTTTGTTCTTTTCCAACCTGGAACTTCAGGAGGGAAACATTCCTTACTTATGAGACAGTCCCTATAATAGGAAAGTATAATCTGTTCATTTCAGTACAGCATTGCCTAGCTTATTAAACTTCATATTTGATACCCATTCCTCTGACCTTTTCTCTCTAAGGAGTTATCTGATTAGTATAAAGATTGTGTCCTATGATCATCTTTAACTAGCCATCCAAGGGCAAACTTTTATTACTAGAGCTACTCATCTGAATTTATTAAAGATGCAGATTAAAAAATCCATAAAAGTTAGAAAGGTTTCCTAATCTTTTTCCTAAAACAAATTAATAATGTTGCTATCCCTTTCTTCTAAGATTATAGTTGCAGGCAGGGTTTGTGGACCCTTTAATTATTCACTCATTACTTTTCATCTTTTGCCAAGGAATTCAGAGCATCATATTAGTAAAGTACAAAATGGAGCAGTTTGTAGGGAAATCCTTGGTTCTGGGGGGGGGGAGAAATTGTCCCCCTCAGAACAGGTTCGCAATTTGGGTGTCCTCCTAGACTCACAGCTAAGATTAGAGCAACATCTGACAGCTGTGGCTAGGGGGACCTTTGCACAGGTTCGCCTGGTGCACCAATTGCAACCCTACTTGGATCGGGAGGCTCTCCTCACGATCACTCATGCCCTTGTCACCTCACGGTTAGATTATTTCAACGCGCTCTACATGGGGCTACCCTTGAAAAGTGTTCGGAGACTACAGTTGGTCCAGAACGCAGCTGCGCGAGCTGTCGTGGGTGCACCTAGGTGCACCCACATTACACCAATTCTCCGTGAGCTGCGCTGGCTCCCTATTGGTCTCCAGTCACAATTCAAGGTGTTGGTTATTACCTTTAAAGCTCTACATGGCTCAGGGCCAGGGTATCTTCGAGACCGCCTTCTACTGCATAACTCCCAATAACAGGTAAGATCCCACAGAGTTGGTCTCCTCCGGGTCCCGTCAAATAAACAATGCCAGCTGGCGGGCCCGCGGGGGAGGGCCTTCTCTAAGGCTGCCCCAGCTCTCTGGAACCAGTTACCTCCTGAGGTCCGGACCATCTCCACCCTATTGGCCTTCCGAAAAGCGGTGAAGACCTGCCTTTTCCGGCAGGCCTGGGGCCGTTGATCTTGCTCTTGCGATCCGGCGAGATCTGGCCATGAATGGTGTGAATGAGTTTTAATGTTTTTAATGTTTTTAATTTTTAAATGATTTTTATAATGATTTTAAATGCATTGTGAGCCGCCCTGAGTCTTCGGAGAGAGATGGCATACAAATTGAATTAATTAATAAATAATAAATAATAAATTATTGGATAAAAGTAGACCAGTGTCAGCCCTTTGAGATTAGTCCAGACAAGAAGCACAAATTATGAATACTGACAAACCACCTTTATTGTAAGATTACAGCAATAAAATCTTGGAAGTCTTTCTGGAAAACTATGGAGGATCCCTTCTGAGATGCTTTCCATACCCATTTTCCTTCTGTAGGCTGAGATATCTTTTGCATGATGGTTGTCTGGAATGTGGAGCTAACTCCTGCCCCCCCAAGATCATTCCCACATACCATTACAACCAGTAGGCCTCATATATCAGTTTAAGAACAGGATGTTCCTTGTTGCAAGCTTCCTGTTTGCAAAATAAAGGGTACAGTTAAGCAATTATTGATATTGCCACTCTCACCAGGAAGACTTTTCTGCAGCAAAGGAATGCTTACCTCCTACACCAATATTTTCTCAAAACAATATTTATTTATTTATTTATTTATTTATTTATTTAATTAATTACATTTCTATACCGCCCTTCTCCCGAAGGACTCAAGGCGGTGTACAGCCATATTAAAACAAACCCATCACAAAAATTAAAAACCGTTAAAATAATTAAAGCAATTTGGCCGTTATTAAAACCCTTAGCTAAAACCCCTTTAAAACCAGTTAAAACCCATTAACATTAATTTAGTCAGTCAGGCCGGCTTGATTGAACAATAGAGTCTTCAGAGCATGACGGAAGGTGCGGAGGTAGGGGATCCTTCTTATATTCG